ATATCAAAAATTTGAAAAATTCCGTTTTTGAAAATTAACCGTTTACAAAAGTTTAACAAATTACCCGTTTACAAGAAGTTTAACAGTTTAACAATTTCATATATGGAAAAGAGTGTTGCACTAGATATTCAATATGCTTCGAATAGCACGGATTATTGTTCCGACTTTCGTAACGAAAGTTTTGTTCCGACTTTCGTAACGAAAGGTACGGAATATTTGTGCTCGGGTGGGTTTTTTTTCTTCAGACAAATTTCGACTTTTAATCTAGCCATTTTGGACGGAATTTTTTTTTACATCATTCGAAAGCTTTTGATGTCCTAAGCTCAAATTTGAAAAGATGTTTTATCTGTGATCATTTTTCATAAAGTCATGGGGGTTTAAAGATTGCCAATTTGTTCAATTTGGCACAATTATCCCGCGATGTATTTCGCGCTATTAACGCGTAAGCGGAGGTTTAATCCCTCTTAGAAATTGTTCCAAATTGGTTGATGGAAGCATATTTGCCATAATTGATTTGTTAATAGGAGCAAAATCTACCATTTTTTTCTTAATATGGCGAGTGGCGGGATGTTATCACAAAAAACTCAAATTTTTTAGAAAAAAAATTAATTTTAATTTATTTTATTTAAATTTTCCATGTTATTACTGCTCCATAGACTTTAAAAGGCAGTCAGAACATTCAGCACTTCGCCCTGATACGAGCAGTTTTGTTGTTGATTCTGATGAAAGCAACATTAATCAGTGTAGGATAATGTTTCGGTGTATTGTTGTTCCGACTTTCGAAACGAAAGTAACGGAATATTTGTGCTCGGGGTGGGTTTTTTTCTTCAGACAAATTTCAACTTTTTAACTAATTATTTAAAAGGTTTTGTTGTCCTGAGCTCAAGTTTGAAAAGATATTTTACTTGTGATTACTTTTCGTAAAGTTATGGGGGTTTAAAGATTGCCATTTTGGAGAATTTGGGACAATTAACGCGCGATATATAACGCGTAAGCGAGATTTAATCCGTTTTGAAAATTGTTCCAAAATGGTTGAAAGAAGCTTATTTGTCATAATTAATTTGTTAAAAGGAGCAAAATCTATCCTTTTATACTTTATATGGCGTGTGGGGCGATGATTTTCATAAAAAATTTCAAACTTTAGAAAAAAAATTTTGATTTTATTTTATTACATTTAGTTTTGTTATAGGTCATTACTGCTCCATAAACATCAAAAGGCAGTCGGAACATTTAGTGCATCGCCCTGATACGAGCAATCTTGTTTGGTTTAAAACTCAATTAAAAATTTGTTCGCCTCTAGGTTGGTTTTTTATCGACAAAAATCCAAGCGCTACTTGAGCCTACAAGATTGATCAGAAAAATCACTGTTTTTTTGATGAATAAGCAAAACAACTGACTCTAAGCAAAATTAGACTACTCGTTTATCAGGCCATATCCCTGAAGATTCCGATTTTCAAGATTCCGTTTTTCAATATTTTCAATGAGATATTAAAAATTTTTGTCAAAATTTATTATTTCGATCGGTGAAAATTGACTGAACAAAAAAAACACTACCGAGCATAAATATTCCGTTTTCTTTGAAAGTTGGAACAACAATTGACAATTTACAGATAAAAAATTTTCTTGAAGAGAACTAGCTACACTATTTTTAAATGGAGCAGTAATATATAAATAAACAACACTAACTGTACAATAAATGAAAACCCGAGTTGAAGTTCCGCGGTAAAAAAAAACTTCAGTCACTATTTGTCTCTGCAAAAACTTCGCAAAGCTCAAATTTAGGACAAATCGTAAATTGTATGTCTCTGGAATTCACAGAAAGATCTTAAAACATGTTAAATTTTTGTCGGATCAAAAACCGAGTGGACCTATCTACTCACAGATTTTGTTTGTATAAGCCAAATCGCAGTGCGATGAATGGTTATTGGAATGAGGTTATGCTTTAATCTTAGCTTGGGCAACTGGATCATATTGCAATTGTTTTGCTTCATCTCAAGCTTCGTCACTTTTTAAAACGGAGCAGACCAAATCGTCTCTTCATCTGCAAGAAGTTCGTCCAAAAACGCCACAAAAGTTGAATGTTGGCGATAACTTTTGTGCCATTACACTGATAAAACTGTTTTTTTTTTAGTATTCTAGCACCATAAAAAAATGAAAGGCATCCGTTTTCGAAAATAACCTGTTTATAAGAAATTTAAAAAATATATCGGCCAAGCCTTCAACAGTGCAGTTTTAGATCTGCGATATATTTCAAAAAGAACTTTATTTGCTAATTTTCCACCTTTATGTTAACATTGTTAGTTCAGAAACCCATTTTTACTTATTTTACATGTCTGCAAAAGCTACCACTAATTTTTATTATTATCATTAATATCAATAAAGCCACTCATCACTTGCCCAATGCTTCCAAAAACAAAAACGTTACTTTTTTTGACTGTTCTTAGATCAATTTTTTTTGAAAAGTAGGTAGAATATATTTGCATGAAGCTGTAGAATATATAAAAAGGACACTGCCTGTACATTTTATGGATTCTGAGTTATAGCTTAGATGTAGTTTCTTAGCCTTATTTATTTTTGCGTGTGCTCAAATATTCTGTGTGTCCAAAAATTAAGTTTAGTTGTTGGAGGTTAATGGGTTGCTATACATAGATTAAATACACAATTATGAACAAAAAAAAACAAGACTGCTCGTATCAGGGCGAAGCCCTGAATGTTCCGAATACCTTTTAAGTTTTATGGAGCAGCAGTAATAACTTTAAGAAAATTAAATGAAATAAAATAAAATGAAATTTTTTTTTTAATTTGAAAATTTTTATGAAAATCATCCCCCCACACGCCATATAAAGTACAAAAAGAGAGTTTTCGTTCCTTGCAACATATCAATTATGGCAAATAAGCTTGGAACGATTTATAAGACGGATTAAATCTCCGCTTACGCGTTAATAGCGCGAATTATATCGCGCGTTAATTGTCCCAAATTGGTCAAAATGGCCAAAATGGCAATCTTTAAACCCTCATAACTTTACGAAAAATAATCACAGGTAAAATATCTTTTCAAATTTGAGCTCAGGACAACAATACCTTTTGAATGATATAAAAAAATTCCGTCAAAAATGGCTAGTTAAAAAGTCGAAATTTGTCTGAAGAAAAAAAAAACCCACCCCGAGCACAAATATTCCGTCACTTTCGTATCGAAAGTCGGAACAACAAAACTGCTCGTATCAGGGCGAAGCCCTGAATGTTCCGACTGCCTTTTAAGGTCTATGGAGCAGTAATAACATGGAAAATTTTAAATGTAACGAGGTAAAATTAAAAAAAAAATTCTAAAAATTTTAAGATTTTTTGCGAAAACTCCCCCCACACGCCATATTAAGTACAAAGTGATAGATTTTGCTCCTATTAACAAATCAATTATGGCATATAATATTCCTTGAACCAATTTGGAACAATTTTTAAGACGGATTAAATCTCGCTTACGCGTTAATAGCGCGAAATATATCGCGCGTTAATTGTCGCAAATTGGCCGAAATGGCAATCTTTAAACCCTCATAACTTTACGAAAAATGATCACAGGTGGAATATCTTTTCAAATTTAAGCTCACGACAACAATAACTTTCGAATGATGTAAAATATTCCGTCAAAACTGGCTAGTTAAAAAGTCGAAATTTGTCTGAAGAAAAAAAAAAACCCACCCCGAGCACAAATATTCCGTTACTTTCGTATCGAAAGTCGGAACAACAACCGACTACACAAATCGACACACAAGTCGAAGGTTAATTTTAATCTGTTTCAATTTTCTATCACCAAAACGAAAGACAATGAAGGTTATTGGGTTGAGGTTTGGCTTCAATCTTATATCGAGCGGCTGTGTTGTCACTTTGCATGTTGCATGTTTTGACCGAAAATTAGTCGATGTCGAAGTTGAGTACAAAGATAAGACCGCGCATTTGTCTTAGAGACATAGAGACACGAAAAGAAGTTTTAGAAATTTTTCGAAATAGATGCAAAAATCTAAAAATAGCTTAATTGTCTGACTCGGTAAAAAATGCGGAAAAAGTGCATAAAAAGCTCCATCCAAAATACAAAAAAAATGATCCCATTTGCATCTGAAGCAAACCCCAAAAAACGGGGTTGATAAAACTTTTTCAATACTCCGTTGGATTTTTGAAGGCCTTTAAATTTGAACGAAGGTACAGTGCTGATTTAAATTAACCGGACAAAACGTGGTAAACTTGAAATTTAAAACGCGTTTTTCTCAAATTGGGTTGAGTTTAGGAGAAAAATTATGAAGACAGAACTTGCTTAAAATTTTAGCAGAATTAATATGAAGTAATTTGTTTTGCAAAATTCGGGCCCAAAATTTTACCCCAAAAATGTGTCATTTTGGCTTTTCTTAGTTAATTAAAAATTACGCAAAAAATACTCATTCGATCACAGCCATAACTATATTAAAGTGAGCCCCTTACGTAGCCCAACAAACTTTGACAAGGGTATATTCTTCAAAAAAAAATTGCAAACCGTCTAAAAATTGTTTTTAAATAAAAAATTGGTATTTTATATAGTAAAAACGACCTTTTTTGTCTATCAAGCAAAAATAAATTAATTTATACAATGTTTTGGAGAATATACCCTTCTTAAAGTTTATTGGGCTACGTAAGGGGCTCACTTTAATATAGTTATGGCTGTGATCGAATGAGTACTTTTGGCGTAATTTTTAATTAACTAAGAAAAGCCAAAATGACACATTTTTGGGGTAAAATTTTGGGCCCGAATTTTGCAAAACAAATTACACCATATTAATTCTGCTAAAATTTTAAGCAAGTTTTGTCTTCATAATTTTTCTCCTAAACTCAACCCAATTTGAGAAAAACGCGTTTTAAATTTCAAGTTTAACACGTTTTGTCCGGTTAATTTAAATCAGCACTGTAGTTTGCTACGTTTTGTTGGTTTTTAAGGCATGAAATTAGACTGTAAATAGCTAAATTCTGCAATTTGATAACGTCGAGGTAAAGTGCTTTAAATTTCGAATAGATACTAATACATTGAAACTAGCAGAAAATTAGCGTATTTTTAAACGATTTTAAAAACAGAGTGAAATATTTGTGCTCAGTGTGGTTTTTGTCTTCAATTGGGCTATGAAAAATTGGATTTATTTGGGTTATGAAAAAGGAATAATTAGACGATTTGCATGTATGTTGAACTGGTGATCAATTTTCTGGTGACCTACTAACCGAAATGGGTGGCCTGGCCTCATAAGAACTGCAAGGCCAATCCTGTTGAGCAGAAAATAGTTCACTTTAGTTTGAGGTTTATGATTTGAGGAATATGTTTGGACACCCTAACATCCCCTTAAACAGTTAACGAAAACGATTTTAACTTATGTTTCTAAGTTGAAATATTCAGCCATGCCAGAATCATTTCGGATACAACGCTAAACTGTACTAATCCAAGTTGAATAATGAGATGGAAGATCTTTATTTGGTCTATTTGGGGAAGAGGGATGTTAGCTTGGATAAAAAAATCTAATTGCAGCCCCATAGCAAATACAGCCCCTGTTAAACTACAAAAAAACAGGGGGAGGGCTGCAACTATTTGTGTTTCTGATCTGAAGGAAAATATGAGCTCGAAAAAATTATAATTATGATATTTATAATTATTAGGATTGTTTTTAGTTATTTGTACATATCTATGAAGGGGCGGATCTAGGATTTTCTCGAGGGGGGGGGGGGGTATTTTCAAAAAAATTCGAAAATTTTGTCTACCTTTTTTTAGGTCGATCAAATTGTTTTTCCGAGATCTCTCAAAGCATTAAAAAGACCCTGCTTTGGTCAAATTTTCTGCGCCGCAGGCAGAATTTTGAAAAAACAGACCAAAATTTTGACCAAAAAAATCGCGTTTTTTCGGCGCGCGCTCCCCACTCAAAAATTAGTATTTATTGGCGCCCAAGACGCCTTCAGAAAAATTTTAGGGTACCTCACCAAAAAAAGATATCTCAAAATAGTACAAAGGGGGTACCCTTTGGGTCGGCAGGGGGTCGAATCCCTGAGAGGGGGTGGGGAGGGTAGAGGGCGTCCAACTCCCCCCGCCCCCTCCCCCTAAATCTGCTACTGTATCTATACCAACTGTCCAGCTGTTAGCATAGAAGAAAAAGTTTTATGCATGGATCTGATAGTACTTATTTGATCAACACTAATTAGATCAATATATCAGCATTATTTTATCAGTAATAATCAGTAGTTTTTCCAATATAGTACCCCCTCCCTTTTTCCCCATATAGTACTAGCAAAAAAAATTGCAGCCCAGCTTACTAGCAAAAGAATAGTGATTTTTGCTTTTGGGGTATATTATTCAGGTGAGGAGGGGGACATAACCAGATATAGCCACTGTAACTTGCAATGAGAGGCGGAACCGACCTTGGATTGTCTGGACCTGGCGCGAGCGACGCTTTCGTTCTGGCGCTTCTCCTGCAGCCACTTCTGCTGGTAGCGGTTGCCCATCAACTCCATCACTGGAGTGCCCGCGCGGTTCGCCTGTCCAAAGACAGTCTCGGGAGGAATTCGACCCACTTCTGCTTCTGAAAGAAAAGATACATGTTTTTATAGAAAAAAAACCTTAAAAAGTGTGTTTTAGTTTTTATTGGGACTTTTCTGGTCAAAAACTTCAACCAGATATTTGAAGCACTGTAACCAAAAAAGTCTGCTGATAGAAGAAGGAAAACCTAGCCAGACTTGCAAGCACATGCGTATGGTATAGCGTATAGAAAAACTTTATTTCAGCTAAATGCAAAGTTCTTCAGCATTCTAGCGTCTGGTCTTCATTTGTGATTTTTGTGTTGAAAACTGATCATACTTTTAATTAAAAATATGTGCTAGGATCCCCTGCCTGACGTAAACCGCAGTTTTATGCTGAGGCAACTGGTCGTTTTTATAAGGTTGGGTATTGCATATTCATATTCAGAGACCAAATATGAATGGTCTCATGTAGTATACATCTCATACCGTTTAACCCTATTACTCATACGTTTTGCTCGTTTATCGAACTAACCTTACAATACTTAGTTAGAAGAGAGACTTGACCCGCATTAGTAATGCGGACATGCAAACAAGCAGAGGCTGATTAAATCCATCAGCAAAAAATGTCAGAAAAAGTAACTCACTGTTGGTATTTGTGTCCATAGTCATTGGCTGCTTCTCGACATTATGTGTAAACTTGTACTTTGCAAAGTCGGAGGATGTGTGGAGTCCCTTCTTAGTGGCCGCCTTGTTCATCGCCACAAAGTCCCTTCCGTTGAAAGTGTTGCTGCGTTTTAGGGAGCCCCCCATGGCGTCCATCTGCTGACCTCTGGAGCCCAAAGTGAAATCATTCTCCGTTCCATACCAGCTACCCAAAGCTAAATGACATACAGCTTTTTGTCATAACCTTCCAGAACAATTAAGGTTTAGCAATAACCGAAAATAGCTGGTTTTATTTCATTAAAAAGATTTCACAAAAAAACGACAGACAGTTTTTGATTCATGAAAATGAAAGATATAGATGCATGCTTAAATAAGCGATGCCGCGCCATTGATATAATTAGCAAAAGTAAACCGTACTAAAAGAGAGAAAACCTTTAGCCGCTCCGAGACGATCACCAGTGGTAGAGATTCCATACACGAAGCTATCCGGTGGCAAATCGTGGCCTCGTCTGGTAGCACGCCCTAGTTCAGCCTAAAATAATTCAATCTCAATATCAAACTTCATCGTATTACTAAAAATTGAACGTAACCTAAAGTGTTTTTTTTCTACAGATTTAAAACCTAGAAGAAATCCCCCGAAATTTCTCACTAGTTTCCATATATTTTTAAGACGCCGTGGTCACCAATATGTACTATATGTACTCACTTTGACATGGAGACGCTCGCACCAACAAAGCGCAATATTTTAGTTGAAATTCCCAAAAAGTGCCTCCACAGAACTTTTGGTAGTAATTCTAAAAAATGGTTTGATTACCCCGTGTAACAAAAATCAATAATTTGCACCTGTCTTACATTTTGTAATGTTGTAGTCTATTAACGTTTGAAAACTTACAAAAGCCCAAATTCAGCAAATCTGTTTTTTAAGGAAAAAGAACAAAACTCCTCCCTCATTTGAACTTTAATTTGGAAAAAGTAATTCAAACCTACCAAAATGTTAGTAAATTAAGCATGATGATTAATTTATTGACAGTAAATTAATTTCAGCACTTCAGGATTTACCGAGTTGAAAAAAAAACTTTCTAAACGCGTATAACTAATCATCATTGTTGTTCAAGCATAGTCTTAGATGCAACATGCGTGATATCACTGATTAAGTTTGTGTGCTAGCTTTCTTAGAGTGCCAAATTACTACGTATCTTCGTAGTGGTTTGATAAGCAGGGGCCGCAATAATCAGGGGCGAGAAACATTTTTCGAAAATTTTAAGGCTAATGTTCTAATCACTGAAAGTAATGTAAAATGATTTTTCTTTCAAACCATTACAATAACTATTTCTGTTACTTGATTTTTCGTGGAAAAAAAACCAACAAAGTAAGGGCACAGTTTCATGAACAACACTTTCTCAAACTAATCAACTCTTCAAAATATAATAATTCTTTGTCACATATCCACAAAAAAACCATCAAATAAGTCCAAGGGTCTGATTACTTTAATTTAGTACTCAAAATAAATTTTTTGCTGATTATGTTTGATAATTTGTAAGCATGATGTGGTAGCAGAAACTCAATAACTACAAAAACAAATTTGAACTGATGACGCTCGGGTTGAGCTCACATAGAAAATATCGATAAAAAAGTGAAGAAAAAAAACAAAGATTACCATCGAAGAAATTATTGATGTTCATTGCCACAATAGCAAAATTTATCGATAGCAATAAAATAACCTATCAAATTGAGCAAAAAAAATGAACTTCCGTAGTTCGTTGACGCAACCTTCAACTTTGTAGTCAGTTATGCTACCTTTACGCCGCCTAGCCTTAGATATTTTCAATCGTGGCCTCGTCTGGTAGCACGCCCTAGTTCAGCCTAAAATAATTCAATCTCAATATCAAACTTCATCGTATTACTAAAAATTGAACGTAACCTAAAGTGTTTTTTTTTCTACAGATTTAAAACCTAGAAGAAATCCCCCGAAATTTCTCACTATTTTCCATATATTTTTAAGACGCCGTGGTCACCAATATGTACTATATGTACTCACTTTGACATGGAGACGCTCGCACCAACAAAGCGCAATATTTTAGTTGAAATTCCCAAAAAGTGCCTCCACAGAACTTTTGGTAGTAATTCTAAAAAATGGTTTGATTACCCCGTGTAACAAAAATCAATAATTTGCACCTGTCTTACATTTTGTAATATTGTAGTCTATTAACGTTTGAAAACTTACAAAAGCCCAAATTCAGCAAATCTGTTTTTTAAGGAAAAAGAACAAAACTCCTCCCTCATTTGAACTTTAATTTGGAAAAAGTAATTCAAACCTACCAAAATGTTAGTAAATTAAGCATGAAGATTAATTTATTGACAGTAAATTAATTTCAGAACTTCAGGATTTACCGAGTTGAAAAAAAAAACATTCTAAACGCGTATAACTAATCATCATTGTTGTTCAAGCATAGTCTTAGATGCAACATGCGTGATATCACTGATTAAGTTTGTGTGCTAGCTTTCTTAGAGTGCCAAATTACTACGTATCTTCGTAGTGGTTTGATATGCAGGGGCCCCAATAATCAGGGGCGAGAAACATTTTCCAAAAATTTTAAGGCTAATGTTCTAATCACTGAAAGTAATGTAAAATGATTTTTCTTTCAAACCATTACAATAACTATTTCTGTTACTTGATTTTTCGTGGAAAAAAAACCAACAAAGTAAGGAAAAACCAACAAAGTAAGGGCACAGTTTCATGAACAACACTTTCTCAAACTAATCAACTCTTCAAAATATTATAATTCTTTGTCACATATCCACAAAAAAACCATCAAATAAGTCCAAGGGTCTGATTACTTTAATTTAGTACTCAAAATAAAGTTTTTGCTGATTATGTTTGATAATTTGTAAGCATGATGTGGTAGCAGAAACTCAATAGCTACAAAAACAAATTTGAACTGATGACGCTCGGGTTGAGCTCACATTGAAAATATCGATAAAAAAGTGAAGAAAAAAAAACAAAGATTGCCATCGAAGAAATTATTGATGTTCATTGCCACAATAGCAAAATCTATCGATAGCAATAAAATAACCTATCAAATTGAGCAAAAATAATGAACTTCCGTAGTTCGTTGACGCAACCTTCAACTTTGTAGTCATTTATGCTACCTTTACGCCGCCAAGCATTAGATATTTTCAAGTTAAAAGGTTTATCAACTCATACTCTCATTTGAAAGCTACTAGAATGAGTTGGAATTTCTTAGGTTTTAGCGCTGATTATCTACGGAATTATTACTGAAATAGCTCTGAATAATCGCCGGTTTAATTATGTAATAAACTCTGAATTATACATGAATCAGCGCTGAAAAATTGCGATCACTGGAGTATCAAAGAAAAAGCGATAATTAACCGTGGGTCCTCAACCCGGGAGCAAAATTGATGCGCTTGTTTTTTTTTATAAAACGTTTTAAATAAAAGATCAGATAAATGGTCTTTTGAGAACTGAATGATAGTACCAATTTAGTGTTTTATTAATTTGCATTCTGGAGAAAAATCAAAAAGAATTGATAATTTATTAATTTATTAATTTGCCGCAGGAGTAGATTTAGAAGGGGCGGGGGGGGGAGCATACGCCCCCCTCCCGCTCATGGATTTGACCTTCTCATCAACCCAAGGGTCCCCCTTCGGTATTTCTTAAATGAAATCTATCTTTGGCCGACCAACTCTTAAATTTTTCTAAAGGCGCCTTCGGCGCCAATATATACTAATTTTGAAGCGTGCGCTAAAACACGAATTTTTTGGTCAAAATGTTCCAAAAAGTTCCCAAAAACGGCATTTTTGACCTGTTTGTTTTTTTTTCTTCAAAAAGTGACAAGATACGGTTTTTAGGCAGTTTTGAGCACATACGTTCATTATATTGTTGTGGGAGCGTTTGGAAAATCAATTTCTTTGACCTTTAAAAAGGACAAAACAAATGTTGAAAATCCACTCCCTCAAGAAAATCCTAGATGCTGATAAATGTTCTGAATTGGTGAAATTCATTTACAGAATCGGGTTCGAAAACATCCAATTTGTAAAAAAACTATTTGAAAGATTTCTAATTTCTGTAAATTTTAAATGGTTCATTTGATGTAGCAATCCTTGCTCTTTATAGAGACAATTTTCACAAAATATGGAGCAAAAAGTTTTGTTTTAATATTTATTGGAGCAATTTAAGATTCTAAATCATCGCAAAAAAGCCATTAAAAGAACAATTATGAGCATTTTTTCTCGACAATACATTTTTTCTCGGCAAAAAAAGTTGCCTCCGCTTCAAAACAAATTGAGGTTTCCTTTTAAAACAATAACTTAAAGCGATAAATGAGTACAAAAAAAACTAATTTTGTATCTATTTTGTCTGCAATTGGTTTTACTCCAGCTATAATCTATTTAATTTAGAAATTTATCTTCCAATTGCAATTTTTCAATTGGCGGAAAAAAATGGAAAAAAAATCAAAAAGTTTGAGCCTTTTTGACTATATAGCCGAGATTCAAAATATAAAAACAAAGTTTAAAAAGTGAATAATTGAAAAACTTTTTCTGAATATCTAATATATCTAATTGAAGTTATTATATGAAATCAACAACTGCTACGCAGGAAATCTTGAAGCAAAAATTGTGAAAAAACGGAAGCTAGTCTTCCACAAAAAGAAAAGATTTTGATAAAAGTGTGCTAGGTGAGGGGTTTCACTAAAAACCAAGTGTGAGAGAGGGGTCCCAAATTATACTAATTTTAAGCAAATGCAATAAGTAACTTTAACAATATGCGCCGGTCGGTCTTTTCAGAATTTTTGTTCAAGCTTAATTTGCGCTAACGTATTCCATAATTTAGTTGAAATTACGGAAGCATTAAATGGAACAGTTATGAGGCATGTTGAGGCATAAGGGATCCGGTTAGTTTCTTGGGACCCCTCTATGCCATTTGTACCGAGAGTTTTTCAACTTATAAAAAGGTACTAAGGGTTAAAAAAAATTAGTATATTAGATTAATTTCTTCCAAAAGTTTGTTCCAGGTTGTAAGGTATCACCTTTCAGTTTTCGTTTTTTTAAACTTTTGTTTGAAAAAATTTCAATACATTTTCTTGCTCCAGCTACGATGGATGGAATTTTTTGTGCCTCTTGAACTTTTATCAACAATTTGAAGGTTTGCATTATAAATTTGCTTCGTCAGCGCAGTACGCAATTTAGTGATTCGATTTTCCTTTCACGAAAATCAGATACCCCAAAAACAATATTCAATCTAGTTTTGAGACTTCCAAATCTTGCAGTGTCGATTAGTTTTGAATCTTTGCCTATGGATGCCGCTCTTACAAGTTTACAGCTAACAATATCGTTTGATACGTTAATTAATTTTCTTGGACTAGCTCATGAAAACGAACAGCAAAACTCAAAAAGACTGCTCATAGAAAGGCGCAGCACTGAATGTCTCGACTGCTTTTTACGGTCTAAGGAGTGTTAATAGCATGAAAAAATAAAATATTATGAAAACGAAGCAAAAAATTTTAAATTTGAGATTTTTTTGAAAATCATTGCCATACACCATATCAATTACATATGACAGATTTCGCTCCTTGTATTGAATCAAGTACGGCAAATAAGTTTCATTCAACAAATTTGCAACGATGTTTGAGACTGATTAAACCTCCGCTTACGTGGAAATAATAGCGCGAAAAATAATAATATGTTATTTGTTCCAAACTGATCAAAATAGCAATCTTTAAACCCCCATAACTTAACAAAAAAGATCACAACTTAAACATATAATCTTTTCAAATTTAAGCAAGGACAAAAATTCCTTTTAGGAAATATTTAGGAAATTTTGTCAAAAATGGTTATTTAAAAAGCGGAAATTTGTCTTCAGAAAAAACCACACCGAGCACAAACATTCCGATACTTTTTTAAGTCGGAAACAATTTTACATGATATTGTATGATTTAGGGCAATTTCGGACATTCATTTTGACAGAATTTATTTTACTATCTGAGAGATAGTGTTATCCTAAACTCAAATTGAAAAGATATTTTACCTTTGATCATTTTTTGTAAAGTTACCGGCGTTTTAAAACTGCTAATTTTGCCAAATTGCGATAATTAAAGTGCAAGTTATAGTGTCCTTATAACACGCGTATGAAGCAATTTATTGCATTCCAAATTGAATCGAGGCAGCATTTCAATTCTATTAACACAATGAGAGTCGCTAAACACACCCTTAAATTGTACAAAGCGTGTTGGGGGATAAAACGAAGAAAAAAAAACGTTCTTCTTTTTTTCTCAATTATTTTGACAATTATTCAACCAAAAACAAATTTCAATTGGCCTTAAGTGCAGCCAGAACATTCAGGGCTTTGCCTTGATATACGAGCAGTCTTGCTTAATGTAAAAATCATTCTCAATTTTGAACGGTTTTCGAGAAAAGCATACCGTGCATGAAATATTGCAGAAAAAATACATTAGTGTTTGCTTTATTGTAAGATTCTTAGATTCTTGCAATACTTGTATTCAATTGCAATACTTGTATTCAAAGCAAGTCTTACTGTTTCTTGCAAATTTGTATTCAATTTGCAAGAAACAGTAAGACTTGCTTTCATTTCGAAAGAAAAAAAGTAAGATTTCTCTCATTTATCTAAAAGGTACTCACGTGTCGAAGAAGGGGCTCATGAGTAACCTCAATTGCAGTCATTACTAAATGTGATGCTCTATAAGTTATTCGCCCTTTTTGATAATTGCGAATTAACCAAAGCTATGATAATTACAGAAAAAAAACTTATCGAATTGAAAACGGTCGCAAATGAAATTGGTTCAAAATTGTATATTTTTTCACAGCGGAAAAATGTCTGTTTTTATTTTGGATTTTTCTGAGATAAAATAAATATACTTTGTCTGTTTGATGAGCGCACAAAACAGTAGACCATATGGACCTTTGACGCACGTGTATTAATGAGATAGCGTACTTATACAAAAATTTAAAATGAATAAAGTAAAGCATGGTGTATGAAGCATAAAAATTGTACTAAAAATATAGTATCACTTACAGCAAAAAACCATTAAGGAGGCTCAAGGCTGTCTTGAGCCAACGGCCCGCTCTTCGCGAAGAGCAGCTGAAGAATTTTTAAGTCATTTATTTTTCAAGGATTTGGGGATATGAATAGCACTCTGAATCTTTCGTTTCAACAATAAGTCGTTTGGATTGGATTTATAAGATTTCACGAGGTGGTGGTTTTTACTATATTTTAGCCATAAGTTAGGAGAAAAGTATGTCTTTTTGTGTAACTTAGTGTAATCTGAAAACAAAAGGCTTAGAAAAAACAAATAACCGGCAGAGAGCTCAGGGAAGATAATATGTAAGAGACCAGAAATGACTGACTTTTTTTCAAAAAGTTGAAAAAGTGATTCTGATTTCTGAGATTTTTCCACTCCCACTCCATAGTTTCACAAAGACATGAATCAATGTCACTCTGAGTTGTTCGGTTTTTTGGCCATTTTTTACCTATTTTAGTTTTTCTCGCTTGACTATGACAAAATGAATTACCCGCAGTGACAAAAATGGATAAAAATCAATTATAGGCAGAAAAATCTGCAAATTAAAGTAAGAATGAATCGATTTATCTACAACCATTTTGGGAACAATAACCGACTCTATACAGATAGAATTGATTTTTTTCACACAAAATAAATGTGTTTTATTTCCAAAATATTCGTTTTTTCGAGTGTAGAAAAAAAACTGTATAAAATCTGTAGATGTTCTGTAGATAATCTGTATATAATCTGTAGAAAATATATATATAACCTGTAGATAATCAGTATTTGATAAGTATAAAATCTATATGAAATTGATTAAATTGTATGAAAAGTATAGGTTTGTGACATTTTCAGTTTAAGTCACCCAAATTTTATTTATTTTTTTCATTATTTTATGCCTTAATTTGTGACCAGCAAAACTCTTCTCCAGTATTACAGTGATCTGAATTACTTTTAGGAGAATTGTTACAGCAAATTACAAGTTTCAAAAGTTTTCTCTAAGATTTTGCAACCTAAGGATTCGTGCGATAAGAAAAGTGTAGGTTTGAGCCATATATAAGATCAACCTTATCAGTGAAGTTTGGAAAACAAATCAACAATAAGTTAGAAAGTTTATTTTAGAACAATTAGGTTCCGCTGCAAGATATTTTTACTAGCTATTTTTAGATCAATCAACAGCACAAAAATAAAAGTTCATTTTGCTCAATTGGTCTTATGGGCGATTATTTTACGAAAATTAGTCAAAAATCTGTTTAGAGAATGGATTTAGTCTGTATAAAATTTGAACAAAATCTAAATAAATTCTGTATATAATCTATATAGTTTGTAGATGACCTGTATATAAATTGCATAAAATTTCTACATAATCTGTATGCGATTTGTATTTTGTATGCATGAAATTTGATAGAGAAAAAACAGTTTTAGAGTAATTTTTAATGATTATGTAAGGAAGATAAACAACATAGTTTTTATGTAAAGAAAAATGCAATATAATCGATTAATAAAACCATATGATCAAAGTTTATCTGAAATCTGTACATTTTTCTGTGGATAATCAATTTTAAGTATTTTTTGTCACTGCGGGTAGGCCTTCAATCTTGACAAAAATTCAGGCGATCTCATCAAAAAATCAATCGTCTTACATTTGAAGAATGCGGAACAACTACCTATGTTCGCTCGTTTCGGAATCCTTAAAAAAACTAATGTGCAGACAAAATGTATGTTACAGGTATTCTTACGTGAATTCAAGGATATTTTGTAAGAAAAAAACCACTTACATTTTGGAACATATTTTAAGACTTGTCTCTGGAATCCAGGATTATACAGACCTAATATTGTGCGCCTATTTAGTGCGCAGTTTGGCCTATTATTGAGCGTTTGTTGATAATTTTGATAGTTCTGTCTCTGCATTGGAATTAATTTGACCATTTAAACAGAAAATTCGCCAATTTTTTGATAAAAATTAAAGAGCAAACGTATAAACAAACACAAAAAGCGCTAGAATTTAATGAGAACATAAATTAGACTCTGATGAGAGCTTATTTTCTTCAGTTATGACAGTTCTGCTAAAATATTTTAATTGATACAGCACTAAAGTAACTTCGTGAGCAAGGAAAAGCACCGGGCTTTATACGCAATATAATGGAAGGGTTGCCAAATTTAGGCGGAAAATTTTCTTCCATAAGATATTACGCCGAACTTTTTAGGCATCATAGTATGGCGATGGGAAAAGTCATTTTTACTCTCTTGACGGTTTTTTGAATCTTTTAGGACTTTTCTGGAAAACCAAAGTTCAAAAGATGAGATTGTTCGCTTATGGAGATAAAACGAGTTGCTAGAAGCTCTTTTGAGCAAGAAGTCAATCACAGTTTTTTATACAAAAAGTAATTGTTCTCGGCGGAAAACTCATTTTTTTTTGATTTTTTGAAGATTTTTTTTAATTTATGAATTTTTCAAAAAAAAAACATATTTGAATTACTGAGATCACGCGAAAGGACGGCTTGTGAGAAACTTCTTCGCTTACGCGTCCACTCCAAATATTTTTGAAACAAAAGTTACGTCCCTCGGAAAAATTAAACATTTCTTTTGTTGTTCATTTTTTTTAAAAAAGTTTTTGACTTTTCTTGAGAACTACCCTGACAAAGCTGGGTTCATGGATTCAACCAAAATACAGGTTGTGAAAATTTCTTCTGAATGAACGGCCATGCCCAGTTTTTTTCAAATAAACGCGACATTTCTCGAATCTGTCAATTTTCTGATTTCTTGACCGTTTTTTTGGACAAAACTTGATTAACATACTGCCTGATCTGATATCATAGTTCGACACAACGGGCTAATGGAAGATAATTTTAAAATTTTCCCATGCCCAGTTTCTACTAGAAGTTAGTTATGGCTTTCAAAAAATGATAGTCTGAAAATTTAACCGTTTATTATATGTTTGATTGGACTCGAAAATTACCATGCCTATTCTCACAATAACTGTTAAATCGATGATCACAGTTTTTGGGAAAATATATCTTTTCTACGGGCCACGACCTGCTTAAGCAGAAAAAGTCAAAAGATCGAAAAATCAAGGTTGTGAACTTTGAAAATTTTGGAGAGCTTTTGAATTTTCTAAGAAACTTCATTTCAAATCTGAGTTGACAATTTTAATAGGAAGGAGCGGTTGCGCGATCTATTCTTGTAGAAGCTGCTGATGCTTAAATTTCTGTAAAAAAGTTTTTGTCTTCGGGAAATTTCCAAAATCTCAAAACTTTTCATTTTTCTCGCTTATTTTAGTAGAGAAACAAAAAAAATTTTGGGCAAAGTCAAACTGTTGTAGAAGAAGAAGAGAACAAAAGAAAAACACATAAATTACTATCGACAGAAATTGTTGCCATATCATAGTAATAGATTAAAATAAATCTGAAGTACAGGTTCAGATTAGTTACTCATATTTGGTTCAATTTGTCGGTTTGATTTGGTTTTTTTTGTTCAGCCGCTACTTTTGATGGTTTTGATTTTTTTGTCCATTTATGAAAGTATTTTGATTTTATCTAGAACTCGAAAACCCTTTCAAACCTGGGTTCTTGAGTCCAACTGAAATTACGGGTTACGTGAATTTCTTCTGCATATGCAGTCATGCCCAATGTTTTTCAAACAAAATGCTTTTATTCTCAGAAATGTCAGATTTCTGATTTATTGACCGTTTTTTGGAAAGTTTTTGATAACTGATCTGTTAATGGAAGATCAACTTCAGAATTAACCATGCCATTTTCTTTTAGAACAAAATTATGGCCATTAATCAACTGAAAGTTTAAAAATTTTGACCATCTATTTGATGTTTGACTGTACTCGAAAATTACCGTGCCAATTTTGGCGTTAATTCTTTGGAGGATACGCCCGATTATTGGGAATTTTCCTTATTTTACTGGCCACGACCTGCTTTAAGCACAAAAAATTAAGAATTTCAAAAAATTTGGTTTTTGAACTTTGAAAATTTTGGAAGCGTTTTGAATTTTCTTAAAAATATATCGAATTGAAATTAACAACTTCATCGAAAAGAACGGTTGCGCAAACTCTTCTTCATAGCAGCTAATGCTTAATTTATTTTCTGTAAGAAACAGCTTATGTCTTTGGCAAAAGTTTCCCAAATCTTGAATACTTTCACTCTTCTCGTTTTTTTTTTGTATTTTGTAGAGAAACAACTAAGGTTTTGGGCAAACTCCAACTTTTTGTAGAAGAAGAATTAACTGAGTGATTATACAAAGAGAGTTTCTTGCAATGCTAACATAATAGTGTGAAATTGTTACTGGGTAAAGATTTTGATAACTTACTCATGAAAAAAGTGAGATGAAATTTTTTTATCAAAAGTCATCAAAATAAGATTGAAAATGGAAAGTAAAAAAAATATTTGTTCAAGCTTAATAATTGTAAGCAACTTATAATCATTGAAAACTTTGTTAAAACTTGAATTTTACATGAAAAAACATGGAAAGAGAACGGAACTCATGCCGTGGCTTTGTATATGTACATATTGGATTGAATTGCACTTTGGTAGTGTAGAACTGTTTCTTTTTTCTTCAACCTTGATGTGTTTATGACAAATTTTGTAATTTAATGCAGAAAAAATTCAATTTTTTTAACGTCAAGTGAAAAAAAAATATGTAGAGAAGCAGCTGAACACAATATTTTTCAAATTCTGTTTGCTTAGTTGGCTGATTTTTTCTTTAATTGGCTGTCAATAGCCTTAATGCATTTGTAAAAGGATTTTTGTAAGTAGGATTTCGATATTGATAAGTAACACATTTCAGTTCAATTCTGTTCATGTTTCCGAAATATGACTTAATTTTCCGTGTTTTGGCAGATGATTTAATCTTTGATCGAAGAAATGTGCGTTTGACAGCTCAGTTTGAACTAATTTTTGTTACGGAAGCATTGAGGTTGCTT